TAACTTACTGAAATGCTGTAGCAGTCTGTAATGTTTGAGCATATTCCTTTATTTTCACAACAATATATACAGCTAAACACCTATCATTGAAATAAAAATACATAATACTACAAAGTTGGAAATAAAAATTTAAGGAGTTGCTAAAGATCCTTTTTTGTGGAGGATTTCATGGACATTTACTACTAATACTAATTTTTTGGGGTTTATTCTCTCTAACCTTGATATCTTATATTATTATTATAATGGTTCCTATTGAAATAAATAAAACTACACTTTTGTTGAGTTTTTGAAACAGATTTGATAAAACAACTGTGCACAATCCTATAACAATTAAACAATCCTAAAATAGTTGATTATATATAATTTTGAATATGCTAATTCGGCCTTTTTGTGTAAATTTGAGCATATTTTCATGTGCATGTACATTAGGGTGACACAAAATTAAAAAAAAAAAAAAAAAGCCGCAGTACATTTTCCGGTTCTACCAAACTTCGGGAATCTACAAAAAAAATTTTAGTTCCCTAAGTGATCAGGAAGAGCTACATGTAAATTAAAAAATTTTACGTTCCAAGCCTTTTCAAAACATGTGTTAAAAACTTAAGATGTTTTTAAAACATTTGTGGTCATTCACAATTATCTTTTAAAACTTTAATTGCACCATAAACTGGATTGCGTTTAATCACTTGGCAACTTTTGATTTATTAACTATCTTACTTTAAACTTACTTAAAAAAAGAGAGGAAAACATAAGAAATTAGCTATAACGCTCGTAGGTCTGTTTACCTGCTTAACTCGCCTTTAAGCTATCTACCTACAAACCAACTTCCATCGAATAGAAGTGTTCTTCGATATTACTTATTCCTAACTTCAGTTGAGATAATCAATTCAAACCTATTAAAACAAACTTTTCATGTTCTCGAGCACGAGAGGATGTTATATGTAAAAGGAAAGATATTAGTAGATATATCATAATTTTTCAATTATGATATATCTACTAATTTTTCCCTTATATAAGAAAATTATTTTTTTGAGAAATTTTGTTTTTTTATTCAAATTTATCTTATGCTAAGTGTTTTAACAACTTTTTGCACAGAACTAACAGAAATATGATCATATCTTCTAAAATTGTCACAGAGCTTGAAGCAAGTTTCAGAGAAAGATTGATAGATGCAAGAGGAAAGAAGAATATAAAGATCGAGTACAGAAGAGCAGCGATTCCATAATTCGCGACAACGAAGAAAAAATTGGGGAAAAAGGGCAATGGAATCACAACTTTTTTCCTAACAATGATACAAATTTCAATTTCGCAAGTGAGGAACTTACAGAACCTAAAAAAACAAGAGCTGAATCACGATTAGGTAATATTTAAGTATAATTTGTTAAACACATAAAAATATTTGTTTCAACTTGAAACAAATATTTTATTAATTAAAATTAATAAAATATTTGTTTTAAGTTGAATTAAATATATTTAATTCAACTTGAAACGTATTTTAATTCGTAAAACGTAATTTAATTTGTATTTGATTAAATAAAAAGAGAGAATATAAACAATTTTTTCTAATAACGCACGAACAATTTTTTGAAGTAATTGTATAACTGAGCTTAAAATCTTTATATTAATTTAGATGCTGGAAGTGGAATTGTAAAGTAGGAAGATTTTGTCCTAAATAAAAATGTTAATTTTCACGATGCAAGCTCAAAAAGTAGGCATCAGTTTAGACCAGCATATTTCAGAGTAGAAAAGGAGATAACCAGTGAAGGTCTCATTGCAGCAACAACTTCCAACTTTCTTTGGTTATTGTGTAGGCACCATATTGCCGAAATAAATATTACTTGGGCTTTAAAGGCAATTTCAATGGAAATGTCTAAAGCCCCTGCGAATAAGTTACTAAAAGATTTTCAGAAGAAATGGATAACAGAATTTTTTCCTAAAGTTTCAGCTAGTGGTACTGTAGAAAAGTTCAAAAGATTTCCTGAGCAAAACCTTATTGTTGGCAGTGATCTCTGCAAACTCTATTTGAAGTCTAAAAAGTTTGTAACTAAAGCACTAGAACATGAAATCTTCCCCAGGTATGTAAAAATAATATAAAATGAATTTTTCATAAATATACTTTTTTTTTTTTAAAGTTATTACATAAAATTAGGAGTAATTTAAGAATGATTACAGGCATCTTTGTTGATTGGCAAAGTTGTTGTACTATCATTAGGTGATCCTCATATGAAAACAGATGCTAAGCGTTTAATCATTGAGGAACTTTTAAAATTTCCAATTCCTAAGTTATCAGAGATTTCTGTTACAGCTTCTTCTGCTGTTATTGTTACCAGTGATAGTCGATTAGAGGATTTAATTACGAAGGAGAGTTGGCTTTTTTTTATACTAACAGGTCACACCGAATCTGTTCGAGAGTGGCATACTTCAAGTGATTTCTTAGCGCTAGATTCATACAAACATTTTCTCAATTAGTTTGCTATCTTAGTGTGACCAACAATTGCCCAGAAAGAAATATTAGTTTAATTGAAATTTTGTTCACAGTTCCCACAATGAGGATCAAAGACAGAACATTCTTTTGGAAGTCAGAGAGCACATAAAGCTTATAACAAAAGATTTGGTCGCTTAAGGAACTGGTAAAGCTAAAACCTAGAGTTGAAAAATTATTGTAAAATAGTAGCTAACTGTATAAAACTATAAACAGTGTTTTTTTTTCTTGTAAGATCAAACAAAAGTTTAGATATAAACATATTTTAACCCGTAAAAAATGACATAGTTCAGCCAGTCCTCAATATTTGAAAAATTACATGTAGCACTTCCAACAAATAAAAATAAGTGAAATTTAGTATTTAGACTAACTGAATGTTGTAGAACAGGATAAGCAACTGCGGTTATTGATTTTCGAAAAATTTTATTTTTCAACCCTACTTTGTGTCACCCTAATGTACATATTGAAAAACAATAATGAAAGCAAAAGCTCAAATTTCTTTTCGAATGGAAGAATCTTCTTAATCAGATGGCTTTAATCAACTAATCCTTTCTTGACTGCTTTTACGATTTTAGATCATTTTAAGGTTGAGCTGTTTTTGTTTTCAGACATTAAAAATAGCTTAAGATGCATCATTGAATTCAATAAAATAAGGCAACTGCACAAGCTCTAACATCAGTGTTGTATATTATTTCATGTAGTAAAATGTGAATATAATGTAAACTTTGCAAACTAATACATGAAGTAAAATCAATTTTTTAAGTGATAATCAATATTTTTATCTGCATTTCACAATTTTACACAATTTGCAGATCTCTGAAAATACCTGAATACTATTACTGTTATTCTTACATATGTCAAAGCCAATGAAGACCTTTATATCAAACTTTCATCAAATGCGTATATTTTTCTTAACTGCAAAATTCAATGTAAAGAGCAGTTACTTTTAAACACACAGCTTTTAACTTTAAAGTTTAATTTATAAACATCAACCATGTGAGGAGTTAAATTGTAAATAAAAAATCTTTTATGAAAAACATTCTAGTATTTTAGTTTATAGTAAAATTGTGATCATTTGGATCTTTTAAAACTTTTTTGTACGAGTGTTGATTTGCTCTAAAATCACACATTCTTCTAAGTTTGTGGTTTTGCTTGTTTATATTGTATTATTGTTCAAATTTACTAAGTTGCTAAGGTTAATTACCTTGTTTGACAGTGTTTAGAAAATAAGTTATTTAATATTGAGTTTTAGTTAGAACAAAAAAAAAAAAATTAACTATATCATGAGAAAGAGAATTCTACAATTCTACAAAAAATTTATTCAAAATAATAAACATTTTTTAACTGTTTTTTCGATTAGAACCACATTAAGAGATAATAGTAAATAGCCTTGCGTTAAACTAATGCGCATTTGTTTGACCTACAAGATGGTGTTGGAATAACAATGTTTACATCGTGACGTCAATCGAACACCTATTGTGCACTTAAACCATAAAAATAAACTAACAGAAATTTTTTACTTTTTACAGTACACATTACCATCATCATCATCATCATCACCATCATCATCACCATCATCATAATCATCATCATCATCACCACCATTATCACAATCACCATCATCATCATCATCATCATCATCATCATTATCACCACCATCACCACCACCATCATCATCATCATCATCATCATCATCATCATCATCATCATCATCATCACATCATCATCATCATCATCATTATCACCATCATCATCATCATCATTATAATCATCATTTTTTGCTAACTCTCTGCATGTCCAAACCCAATTATCTGTGTTTTTACAAACCACCTTAATTTTTCCTGATGTATCACTATTCCTAATCTCTAAAATTATCACTTCTTTTCTTATCTTTTAGAGTCACACATATCTATTTGATCACTTCTAGGTTCTTTCACTGTACATCATCAACCTTCTTCTTCTTCAGTCTCATAGATCATAGTACTCTGGACTCATGTAATGATATAGGAGCTCAACCCGCGGAATTAGAAAAAATTGGGTCGGCAATAAATTGCCGACCTCAAACTGTTAGACACCGGCATCAAGTCGGCAAAAAGGTTTTGACACAAAGAGGTTACCATAAAATTTAGAAATCTGGTCAGCAATTTTTTGCCGAACTCTTAAGTTGGCAGTTAGGTCGGCATTGCTAAATGTCAACTTTAATTCCAAGGGCTGGGAATTATATTATAACTTTCTATAAATCTTTAAAAATGCACCTCTTTCTATTAAAAGTTGATATTTTATTCTTTATTTTATCTCTATCAAAGTTTTTTTGTTCCCTTATTGTGTCTTAGCTGTATTATTTATATCCCTTTATGTGTATCTAGAAAATCATTCTTATTGAGCTTAGCTCTAAAATAAACAAAAATTATATAAAAAAATTATTAAAAGTAAATTTATGTGTACAAAATATTTAAGTAAAAACTAAATAAATAATAAACTTTTACATTAGTTTTTAAAGTGCTTGAGTAATTAAAGACACCTGTGAAAGTTTTTGCTTTTTATGATTTTTATCTAACTTCCAACCATGAGGTCCAATAATTTCTTCGATTCTATAGATAAATCTAAAATCATAAATATAATCAAAATTATAATCAATAGTTTAACTAAAATATATTACACTATATTATATATATCTAAAGCAAAAAAAATTTTAAATATAATACACTATATTATATAAAAAAAAAAAAATTAAAAAGGTATGGTACTATTTTGTAAAGAGTTTTTTACTCTTTTCAAAGGTATAAAAATTTATTTTTTTTATAATTTATTTTTACTTAGTAACTTTAAGATTCTCACCTAAGATAAAAGATAAAAATTAAAGGACAATTTTTATAATTAGTGAATCTAATTTTGAAAAGATTCTCTCTTTAAAATTAGATTTGCTAGTTAAAAAAAAAATTATGAGCACAAAAAAAAAAAAAATTTGAACATGCTAAGTGCTCACAGTATACATTAAAATAAATGTAATAATTTAATTATAAATATTAATTTATAAAAAAAATATTTAACTACAAATTCATTGATAAATGTATTAATTTAATGAGTGTGGTTGAATAAATTATCAATTGTGGCTAAATAAATTATTAATTAAAACTTAAACTAAAGTCTTTGCTGACTAAAATATTTTAAAACAAAATCAACAAGTACTTACATTGCATAATTACAGTATTACAGTAAGTTTAAATAACTTACACTAAAATTAATGTTGCCTTTATGTCATATTCTTTGCCAATACCCCAATATTTTTTGATAGGACAGAATTGTGGGCAATTCAGTGAGCTTATATTATCTCTCATAATTTATACCACTACAAAATTTTATTAGTGTAGTGACAATTCAGGTCAAAACAAACAGCGTCTAGCGTGTGATCAAATAAGTGGCATAAACCTCTTCTGAATACACTATTGAATGTAAACTTCTAATGTCAATGTTGATGAAACCACAAAAACTCTACTCTTCTTTCATTAGGAAATTGTCACAAGGAGGATGACTGAAATCACATATCTCATTGTTCATTAAAAATGCAACCATTTAATTTTGTCAAAACTGTAGTGTAATATTTTGGAGTGTAAATTTTCTTTATGAATGTGAAAGATTTTTTTTCTGATTTTTAATCTGTATTAAGGACATGATAATAAATTTAAATTTTGAATTTCTTTTGTTTTGTTGATAACTACTATCATCATTAATTTTTTTATTTAAATATTTATTTAAATTGGATGATTTATTATTTATATAAATATTTATTTAAATGGAATAATTTATTATTTAAATATTTATTTAAATCGAATGACTTTTTTTAATTTTAATATTTATTTATATTGAATGATTTATTATTTATTGAAATACTTATTTAAACTGAATGATTTATTATCTATTGAAATATTCATTTAAATAGAATAATTTATTATTAGTTTTCAATTAATATTATAATTATCTAAGGTTATAATTATACAAATAGAGTAAATGTTATCTAAGGTTGTAATTATACAAACTGAGTAAATGTTATCTAAGGTTATAATTATACAAATTGAGTTAATGTTATCTAAGGTTATAATTATGCAAATTGAGTAAATGTTATCTAAGGTTATAATTATACAAATAGAGTAAATGTTATCTAAGGTTATAATTATACAAATATAGTGATTAGGCATAATAAATAAGCCTATCAACCTTTTGTTTGTTTGTATCTGCTTGTGCCAATCTAAATACTTATATGTACTTGTACATTTGATGTTCCCAATAAGCATCCAGATGTTTTTTAAATGATGTGACAGATGTTGAACATACTATTTCAGATGGCAGATTATTCCACAAATTTGTGACTCGCATACTAAAAACGTTTTTCCATACATCTGTCTAAGAAAAAATCTTTTTCAATTTATAGGCATTACCACAGGTGTTGATGGAGCAACTGAATGGCATTTAATGAGGACACGGAAGGGTTGTAACTACATTTATAAAGATTGTGAGTCAATTTGTAAGTTTCTATAATGTTATTACTTAAGAAACAATAGCTCATGCTAGTTAAATTTAGTCTCTGTAATATTCAGTAGTGAGTCCAGTCAGGTCCAGATCAGCTTTACAAGACTTGCATAGAATATTTTTAATTAATTGTTAATCTTTTTTAATCCTAGGGTAGTAGACAGAGCTGCAATAATCAAGGTGAAGACGAACAAGTGAAATAAACAAAGTACAAAATGTCAAGATAATGAAATTTACAAATGATCTTTTAATCATTCCAACAATTTTATTCTTCGTCTTAATCTTTATATTTACATGAAAAGAAAAAGACAAATTACAGTCAATGAAAATGCCAAGGTCTTCTTCAACGAGAGAGCTTTCTAGACTAATTGAGGTATTGAGATTAGTATCAACAAGTTTATAAAAGAGTTTTGTGTTTGTTGGTCCTAAGTGCATATTTTTACATTAAAACTTAGTTTCCATAATTTTGCCCAGTTTGCTATAATTTCCATTTCGTTTTGCAGGTTATTGCATGATGAACTCAGAAAGAAATTTGTATAATTTAGTATCATAAGCAAATACAGATACAACAGCTGAAACCAAATCAGGAAAATCATTGATATATATCAAGAACATAATTGGGCTATGAATGGAACTCTGGAGAATGTCACTAATTACTTTTAAGTATGTACCACTAATATTGATGCACTGCTGCCGATCTCTTAGGTAACATCTTATTGTAAAGTTTGTCATCTATTCCATAAACTTTTAATTTTAGAAGTGTGGAACTGTGTCAAAAGCTTTCGTTATATATTATCTATAATATTATTATCATTATCATGTAACATCAGTCAACATCAAATTTCAATAATTTGCCAACTTCAAAAACTAACAATAACACAAGTGATTGATGTTTAAGTGTATCAAATATTGCAACACTTTACAGAAGAACTTGAAATAAAATTGAAAAATGTTTTACAGTGCCACTGTCTTGACACAAAAAAAAAGCAAAAAATATAGAGAAAGTTAAAAATTAGTGTCTAAGAACATCTGAGGTTCTTGGATTTATCAATTGTTTTAATCCAAAAATAAAAAGTGGTGAAACACATTTAATTGGAGAACCAAATTTAATTAATTAATAAATATATATTGTACATTTAATTGTACTTTTTTATATAACTTTAATATTCCTGACAATTGATTATAATTTTATTTTCAATTAATTTAATTGGATTTTTTTTAAACTTTCTATTTTTTAACATTATTAATTGATATTATATAATAATAATAATAATAATATATAAATTATAATTGTTAAACAACTGCTATTGTATAATAAATAAAATAAATAATATTGTATATTAATAATAATAATAATAATAATAATATATAATTAAATAATATAGTAATTAAATAATATTGTATAATAATAATAATAATAACAATAATAATAACAATAACATATAATAATAAAAATCTATTAATATTCATCATCTATTAATTGTTATTAAACTTAACTTATTTACTTTTCCCAAATTATGAGGTGAAAAGTAAAAAAAAAAAAAGACTACTACTTTGAAAGTTTTTTTTCATAAACTTTTCAGTTTTCAAATTATAAATTCTCAATTTTTATATGTTTATGTATAGTGAAAAGTATTCTATGAAATAAAACAATAACAATATATATATATATATATATATATATATATATATATATATATATATATATATATATATATATATATATATATATATATATATATATATATATATATAGAAAGAGAGAGAGAGAAAGAGAGAGAGAGATACATACATAATACATATGTGTCTATTAGGGTTATTGACATTTTCTGAATCTGTTGTGGTCATACTTCTATAGCCTGAGTAATTGATAAAAAAAACTGGTTTAATGGTAGTCTAGTTGCAAAAATATTCCCTCCCCCCTTCATAATAACATGATTTTTCATAGATTACATGAGGACATTTAGTATTTATAAACTACATCTGAACAAACATCATTGAAGTGGATCAATAAAAGTAATTATTTTCAGCATATTAGTTTTAACGCTTCACAGATCGTTCTTTTCACATTTGCATATTCCCATTTTTTTTAATTTTGAAGGAGATCTTTCATCAATTTAACGCCTCTTTCAGCAATGATGTTTGTTCTTGGAATATGAAATACACTATTTTCTTTGCTCCAGTGTTTCATAAAGCACTTTAATACAGCTGAACACTTAATTTCAGTCAATGGATCAAGCATATAGTCATATGATTTATTATCAAAGAATTGTTTGCTGAAGCAAATTTTTTTCCATTGATTTGCAATAAAAGTTGCTGCACTTTTAAGTTCACACCTCCATGTTGGTAGAAGAAAATAGGTAAGAAAAACATATAATGCTCTAGAGTTCCATCTAGCACTGTTCAATGGAGGAAGCTTGTGCCACTTAATTTTTGGTAATTTTTTATGATTCTTGAAGTAACTAGAAGCTTCACATAACTCATAAAGGAATTTGAAGTCATCTCGCCATCCCAAGTTTATGTAACTATTAGGCTCAGCCAGTCAGGATTAGGGTTAGTATGTTAATATGTATAATTTTATAATATGTATAAAAGTTAATATGTATATTTTTTTTAAAGATTTTCATAATTTTCGGTTATGTCCTTCACAAGTTTATAATCAAAACCAGGACTTGTTGATTTACAATTTACAAAATGATCAAAAACGTGTTTTAGATCATTTTGCAAATTGTAAATCAATTTAAAGGAGAAAATCAATTTAAAGGATTTTGTAAATTGATCAATTTAAAGGAGATCCAGTATATAATGCTGACATCCTAAATATTGTGGTTTAGTAAAACCTCTGGTTTCCATTTTATTTTGTATTTTTACAACTATACCATTTAATTTTCCCGTGTTTACTGTTGTGTCACGTATAATAATTGAAATACATTTCCATGCATCAAAATCATTTAGAAATTTTTTAACAGATTCAAAAATATCATTGGATTTTCC